GACGTTATCTCTTTTGGGAAAGTTATGAATTCATTCCATACTATAAACTAACCTAAGATTTATGAACATACTCATCATTTGGTAAAATTCTATCATCAGAAGGCTGAGACACTGACTGAATTTTAGTTTTTAGAGGATCACTCCAACTGAGTATTTAATGTAAACACTGACAAACAGAACTTTTAGCAAAAAGATGTTGGAGACATTATTTAAAGAAAATGATAAGTGGTAGTAGTGGTAGTAGCAGTTACTACTTTTGAGTAATTTACTGTTAATGTTGCACTTAAATTGGTACATGAAAAGAATAGCACGTGGAATCACACACACACTTCATGGTTTTCTCCTCCCATTTTTCAAACCCAAAGTCTCTTGAAAAATCTGGGCCTGCTATTTCAAGAAATGCGTTCACTCTGAGACTCAGAGAGCCCTTAGTTGACTATCGCTTTCAATGAAAAACTAGTAATTCCAGTGCTGCTCTTGGACTTTAGGCTGACTAAAGACAGAACTACCATAATCCTTAAATAATTTTGAATTCTAAAAACAAAATATAGACCATATCCACTTCAGAAGATCTTGGTGAACAGGTGATAAACGGTGGGGGAGGAGGTTGGGCAAGGTTGTTTGTGAGGTAAACCAAATCATTTCTTTAGGCAGGAGTAAAAATTCCAAGTCAATTCACCCATTATTAAAAACAAAAAGTTGGTAGAAGCAAAGAAAACATCATAAATGTGATTTCCACACAATAACAGCTCAATAGCTTGCAAGAACAGAGCTCAACTCATTAAGCTTGTAAATTAAATTTGAAATGACTAGTAATTTTCAAAGACTTATGATTCTTCAGGTCCTAATCCTGCATTCATTGTTTATTTTTCTAGTTAGCACTTTCCACCATTTTAGGAACAAATCCCAGTAAATGCTGCAGATTACATTACTTGTACAATTACATTATTTCACAAAATAGCGTAGCATTAGGCTTCATGCTAGTTCTAAGAATGAATTAGTATTTTCCCTGGACACTCATCAGAACTATTTGACATGTAAGATGCAACTATTAATTGCTTGCGTTTGCGGCTTGAAATAAAGATTAGCTACCTCCCATGTTACGCTAATTAAAGGGAAGCCTTTCTAAGGCTCAGAAAAAGCTACCAAATAGATAGCATACCTAATAATACAAATATAAAAGATGTGGAAAAAAACAGTGAGAAAAGAAGTAACATAAGTACAGTCCAAGACAACATTTAATCTGAAGAAAAACTGACATATACAGAATATTTAATCAGGAAATAAGAATATTTAATCTATAAATAATAGTTATTTTCTTTTTATGAAAATTTTTAAAATATGATTAAATATCCTAATAGTTTAAGAATAATGATAATCAGGGGTTTTGAAATTAAATCTATTCAGGGCAGAAGACAGCTTTAGAAAACTAAAGCCAGCAAATTGCAGCAAATTGGACTTCACACATCCCTATAGTTGTGATCTATATCAGGGTATTTATCATAAATTACTTCTACAAATTCCTCAAAAATGCATGTTTTGCATAAACAGTTTGGTGTATTCTGTTTCAGAGCAACATAAACCGCCCTTTCCACTTCCAAAAACATGAAGTCATCAACCTGATTTAAAAGTATCTCCATAATTTATAAGTCCGAGAGAACGGTTTGAGGCTAAAAGATAATCTAGGCATGGTCCTCACCAAAAATATCCTGTCTCAATGTTCAGTAAAGACTATGATGCTGAATAAGGGAAGAAAAATGCAAGTGTTAATGAAAATGAGATACAGAAATGGACATTATAATACCCGAGAAACAAAACTCGAGTCAAAAAAAACGTAGATTCACCTCTGTTACACAATTCTAAGGAAACCAGCAAGTAAAAACAATTTTATGAGTCTACTAAGGTAAAAGAAACACAGCTGAAGTGAAGAATAACAATACCATTACTTAAAAAACAAAGGTTGTGACAAGTCAGTTTGACCTCAACAATTTGATGAGGCTTACAAATAGATTTTGGGGGGAAAAACGGTAAATGAGTACATGGAAAGACATAACAAAAGAGTTACCAAAACACTGGTTCTCACAGATTCTTTGACAATTAATTTTCTAGATAAAAGGAAACGCAATTTATCTATACCACAGAAGAGCCTCTCACATGTGCCTCAAAACACTAGTTTAGATGAAATAAAAGCAGAGTACCTGAACATTACACCTGAACTTTAGGTTGGATGAGGACTGGCCCAAAAAGGAGATGACAGCTTGTAATGAAAGCAGAAGTGTCAGGCTGGAAGTGTCAGCGGTCATGGTATTTAAGGGTAAGTGTTGGGACTGATCCTATTTACAGGTCAGTTGATTCTGGTACAAAAGACTGGCATGTGCTAATAGATTTTGGGATACAATTACTAGAAAGCACATCAAAATGCAATACGAAGTAAAAACAGATGATGTTGAAGATTAAAATAATCTGAATGGGAGTAACACAAAGAATTAATTCCACAATTTATTCCAACAGTGATTTCCTGGTACTTTGGGGAAAAGATGTGACAACTTCCAAAATTAAAAGAATGGTTAAATTAGAGGAATTAACATGTCTTAATGCAGGAGAGAGGGGGAGAAGATTAAAAATCTACAAAGAAAAAAAGGACAGAAGAAGGATTTTATAAAATGGCACAAATAAAGCCTACTTGTCAGTTATGGGAATAAGGGTGCGTTTAAAGTACCTATTTTCTGCTTGGTCTAGGTTTAAGGATGCTTCTAAGAACTATTTTCTGCTTAAAAAGATTTTCCAGAACAGAATAAAATACAGTTTAGTCTTTTTGAACACAAGCAACTTTGAAAACAGCTCATCTGTCAGTAGGAAAAACTGGAGAAGATGCAGCTGGGCTGAGGATTAGTTGAAAAAGTAGGAGTAACCTTCACAACAGAAACTAGGAATGAAAAAAAGCCTACTACTACTACTACTGAACCGCACACATCATCAAAATTGTTACAATTTCCTAATCCTCTAAAATATATTATTTCCTTTAGTTGAAATAAAATTAAAGCAAGCTATAAACAAACTGTAAACTGATTCTGTTTAATTGAACACATTAAAATGTAATGGGTAAGTACAGAGCCACACTGACAAGCTCATTCATTTCAGTGGAGTTAAACCTTTTTCTTATAGCTGAAGATCTAGCTTTAGTAGTAGTAATGTGACAACAATTTAGAAACATTGCTTGTAGGCAGCTTTCTACTAAGAAAATTTCATGCTAGCTTATCACACTGAGATATGCAAAATGTAAACAACACGGCTTACTCTGTTACTTCTTTCCATGTCAATCATATGTGCTAGATACTTCAAAAGGTTTCAGATTTCTTCTTTATTATTTCATATTTTTATTTCCATTTTGTTATTGTATAAAATAAAATACAGTAAAATTAAAGGAGCCCAATTCTGTGATCAGTATTTAACTTTTATACAATTAGGAGAAACGTATTTTCGTAGGACTTCTACAAACCATCATCCTTGCATAAATCTTTACTTTAGACATTAGCCTCTGATTAACACCAAATGTTTTTTGAAAATTAGAAGATTTTACATATAATGAATTTCCCTTATCTATCATGGTAGTATATCTTTAAAGAAGTCCACCAGATTATTTAAACATGAACTCCCATGCCTCAATCATTCCAGATATTTGCAGACAAATATATACTTTTATGAGTCTTCTCATTTCATTCAGATTTTCCTAAAAATCTATTAATAAGTTTCTTAACACCCTTTTGATGCAATGGGGTCATGTGATGAAAAGGGAGAAAAAAAAAGAGCTACAGAATAAAATCAAAGCAAAAAATTAATTTCAAAGACTGTAATAAAACCATTACTGAGCTGTGCCAGGCATTCAACAATTTGTTCTCTATTAGTTCAAATCTATATTAACAAATCAGCTAGAATATTCTTCAGGCCACCCCTATGGCTTGGGTTAGTAACATTCTCTGTGTGCACACTTCAAAAAGCCTAGCAATGAAAACTGCAATTATAGTATGAATCCAGTTTTTAAATAAAATGCCACTGAAGGCCAATTTAAGTAAGGACTATGTTGTTCAGGTTCTTTGGTCATGAGCCAAGAGAGCTGAAAATGAAATTCAACCATCAAGCTCGGAGATCCATGATTTTTCTTGTTTAGATGACTTGTTGACTGGCTCTGAAGAGAAGCTACACTAGCTCTGCACCCTGGGGTCATTTTTTTTGTTGAGTTCCACCCCCACTCTCCCTTTTTAACTGAAGTTTTAAAAAGACAACAAAACTGGGATAACCATCTGTACACAAAGTATTTGTACTTATATTTTATCCCAGAGTTTCATAAACTGACAGAAAGGAAAACGTATTTAAATATGGGTATGTTTTAAGAGAAAAATCATTAAAAAATGGGTCATTTACCCTCTCATACCTGTTTGAACAGTTGAAGATTAACAGCAGTTTCCAGGAACTGCTTAGTAGTACTGGAACGATGCTTCACAAAACTATTCTCACAGAAAGTTATAGGCTCTCCCTAAAAAATTTAAACAGAAGACGTTAGATGGTAACTAGAGTATAAAAATATGCCGATTTATTTAAAATTCTCCATTACAAATTTATTTATTTATTAATAGTCAATACATACCAATATTCCCTTTCAAACAATCTTGATAAACATGCACCCAATTAAACAGACATAGACAACAACAAAAAAAGCCCCAAATCTTCATAAAATATTTAAATAGTTCTCAAAATACATGCTGTAATTGAAGCTCTGGTTTATGAAAAATCAGTCTACAAAATATGTGCTGCAAAGAAAAAGTAAGCGGTTTACAGTTGGTTCACGTTACCTTTATAGCACCCTTCATTAAATATTTCAAGGAAGTGGTTCAAAATTTTGAGGCAGAGCGGGTCCACTGCTTCAAATAATTTAACATGCATTATTGTTCAGGATTACTTTGATTCCCTGGCACCAGCAATACTAGTAAACCACAACTCTAATTCAGTCCAAAAACATGTATCTGCACCAAATTATTTTTACATTTATTCTACCAAAACATGAGAAGACTGATAAATATACTGTTGATTTAGCAGGAAATTATTGAAATACACATCTGTTTTATTTTTACACAAAACAAAAGGTATAAACTTTTTGGAACATTGTTATGGAGAAGTCTGAATAGATGAGATTAACATTTAATACAATAAAATGTATTTCCCCTCACACGGGAAAAGTGCATAGCCTACAGTTACCAAAAACCCTGCACCAAAACACTTTGATGATGAAAGAAGATAAAAAGGCATTCATTGAAAATGAAGTGTTTGTTGAAAAAACTATTACTGAAAACAGCATTCATTTAAAAATAAAAGATGCTAATAAGATTATTTATAAACAATCAAATTGACTCCTATGTTACTCCCTAATTTCATTTAAAATTTGCTATCTTCAGTGTGCATAGACCACTGGACATTTCTGATGAGCATTCTTTCCCATCCTGTTATTCTTGTCAATACTTTGTGATAAATACTTGAAGCTGTTAGACTTAACTGAATAGGTACATTACAACAGTTGTGTAGTGATCAGGGTGTATGAACTGATTTCATCGTAAAGCCAAAAGGCCCCTCAGCCAGGCTTACAAAACCAAAACAAAGACCAGGTTAGAAACAATTACCAAAGGTCTCAAAGACAGAAAATTTGGAATCCAACAAAACGCCACATCTAAATCTACCATAGAATATTTCACTACCCAAAAGCTACACATACAGTGCAGTCCCACAACAGAATAAAAGACACCTCAGCCATTCAAAAGAAAAAAGATCAAAGACAGCTGCTATATTGATCTTCACAATAGCTCCAACTGTTAGCCACTTTAAAGACAAATTTATTCATGCCCATGATCACCCCAGCTTTCTGCTCCTAACCCTGTTTAACTTTAACCGCACATGCTACTTCATGCATCTTCCTATCATCCTGGCTGACTGTGCAGTTATGCGCTTCCAGACTATCGCTGTTTTCTGCATGTGACCTAGGTGAGTTTGGTGGAGTAGCGCTAAATCATTTTCAACTGCTCTTTACACCTTGCACTTTGGTTTTAAATGGTTCAAGTACGATCCAAAGAAACGTTGCAGTAAAAACACTGTGATGTCATTTTAAAATCCTATTCTTATACTATCAAAAGCTTCCCTTTTTAAGTCTCTCTTTTAAGAGGTCAAATCCTACTCAGCAAAGTACTTAAGTTCATGTCTAACTTGGTTTTAAGTTTTACACCCTTACTTCTTTATGGAACCTCTGATTTCAGAAAAGAAATCTCACTGGAAGAGCTAGAAGCTATACATTTACCTAACATAATCCTTCCCCTTTCACAGAGTAACTGGAATGCTGTGATATGCAAACCCATATCAATACAATATGTAGCACTATGTCGATCAAGTCTCTGGGAGAAGCACTCAAGTTACTCCACCTACTGCTTATCCCAAGATAGCTGGTGAACACTGTACACTTGCAGGACATGCTGGATCTGCCAAATAGCTTGAAATGTTTGTGGTACTTTAAATAGCACCGCCTTCCTGACCCACTTTGCATTAGCTATTCTTGAGCTCCTAAAGACTCTTGTCTTAAGAAGATGACCCCAAGCTACATAGCAAATTCAAAGTGCATCAAAACAAATGAAACAGTGTCCAGTGAGATACGGTGGTACAAGACATAGTGTCCTGAGGGCAGATGCTCTTCTCAGTTCTGTCATTCTTCCAAAAAATTTCAAGGCAGCAAATTATAACAACTCCTTATTTATATAAATATATATTTGTGGTTGTTGTTGTTTTTACACAAAGAAATGATTTCTGGAAATACAGAAGCTTTGTGGGGGTGCAGAACTGAGTAGATGATGGCTCATGACATACTATGAAACATTAAATTTAGGACCAAAGAGAGAAAATAGTATTTTTGAAATATACTATTTATAAAAATAAAAACTAAGCTATGCCTCCACTGCCACTTTCACAATTGTCTTGAGAAAGATGAAAGAGAAAAAGGAGATGTTATCTCCCAGCAGAAGAGAAAACAGGCATGCTTGTTCTCCCTTTCACATCAGCCTGGGGAGAGAGAGCAGACAGATAGTTTTACTTGATGGCACTTCTCCCACCCGAGCTATGTAACAGAACGCCAGGAAATGGTAGTTCAACACATACTTTTAGTGCATGGCTGTAATATTTTCCCAAATACCTTCCTCTAATCGCTGGATGCTTCAGCCACTTAGCAAGCACTCATGCATTGGTGCATCTGTTCTCTTATCAGTACAGTTCAGAGACAGAATAACCAAAGCTATTCCCTAGCTGAAAATTTATTTAGATCTATAAAGAGTTCACATCCAAAAGTCATCTATGTTATTTGAACCTACCGATAGCAAGGTTGCTTTAAAATTTGAGTAGGTTTAAAGGTCCTACCTGTTCAGCACATGAAAATGAGAAAATCTGTTGAAACCTGTAGAAATTCCACACTGTTTTCTCAGGGTATCTGCTGTAACTTTACTGAAATCTCATTAAATAATACAATTAACTCCTAGCTCTTTTATTTGTTCAAGGCTCTAAACAACAAAATTGTTTTCCCAATAAAAATTTCACAAATCTTCAAGATTATTACTGTAAACATGAAGCCTTTTGAAGTGCTATTTCAAAAATAAATTATTGAATCGATATAAATAAAACTAGCTCTAGAAGTTTTTGCACATAAAGCTGATAAAATTCTTGTTTCTGCACATACAACCGGGTACTTCTACAAGCTGACTTTTGGAGGAATGCTCCACTGATATTTAACTACTAGACCATCAAATGGCCCCTGTCGTATTGATCTACAATGTACTTTCAAAACAAGTTCGATCAAAACCCAGTGGGGACTCTATACTGAAAAGTAGACAGCTAATACTCAGACCAAACAATCTATGCCCAAACAAGATATCTGTCCTTTTAACAACAGTTGCTATAGAATTTTCTTCCCCTTTCATAGCTTGCCACGCACAGCAGGATCTAAGCTACATTTTAAGCAAGCTATTTATACAGACCTCAATGGAACACGAAAACAGTGAGCTAAAACAGCGTGATCGTTTTAAAAGCAAAAATAATCTAGATTAGAAGGTATGCTTGTGCTTTCTAAATCTAGTGCTATTTAACTTGAACAAGAAGTACAAACATTTTAATTCTTTATTTCAGAAAACATGCATATCTCTAGCATGAGATGACTCATACCAACTATTTGTGCTATTGTTATAATTAATACTGTTTCATATGGTAACTCTCACTTATTATATGAAGAGTATAAGGTAGGTAGGTATGTGCATAGCTTCTTTGGTTTTGTATAATTTATTTTAAAAAATAAAATTTTAAACACCATTTTGGTTTTGATATTAAAATTCCTGTGATTAAAATACAGGAAGTACAAAGCTGACATTTCATCTGTTGTCATGACATTTGGAGATAAAGGCCAGGGGATAACTGAGTATGACCTATGATTCTACTCAGGAAGGTTCCCTTTAAAATTACCACAGATTTCTGTAAAATTTGCAAATTTCTTGCAATCTACCCAAACAAAGATTCAGATATGCTGATATTTCTTATAGTCACAATCAAAGCCTACAACTCCTATTAATACAATATCTATATTCAATAAAGGACTACTATGGTCCTTTAAGACAAATTAAACAATATGGGTTTTGACATGTAAATTAAAATTCTTACGGAAGTCACAATAAATAGTCATAACAGATATTTCACAGGATGGTTCTGGATTTGAACACAAACTATGTTCTGACATTTCATTACTCTTTCTCTGTTTCTGTACTCTGCTGTACTTTTTATGCCTAACTCTTGGGGGAAAGGTAAACAAGTCAATGCCCACTGCAAGAGATACCTGTCCTCAAAAGGTTTCATTTTGAAACTCAATCATAAGCAATCATTACTTACGCATTCTCAAGTAATTCAGGTGGATTCTGAAACTTAAAATATCTATTTGTTTCCTAATATAACATTTATTTGTATTATTTTGCTTTATTGTATATTGGATACAATACCTGCATCTGTCGGACAGCCGCCGTCACTACTTAAAATAGTGTCAATATTGGCCCAAAGCACTCCAGTTAGCATTCAATTAAAGTGAGGTCTGACAGGTTGTGCTATTTTCAAGCTGGAAGTTATCTCAGCACCCCTGGCGTGCTGATGAGACCATGAACTCCTACTGCTGAGCATTCCAGAGCAAGCCATTAGCCTTTGCGCTTCATTTCTTAATTTCTGATGAGTGATGTTACAACCATCATAACTTAAAACAAAGTTATCCTGGATTTATTTCTTTTGTTGTAACATCAAGAGCTTTGAGGACTTTTTCCCCAAAAGAGGTGATTTTTTTTTCCAACAACTTAATATTTTGTTAGCTAATTCTTGGAGAAAAGCCAATTTTTCAAAGATAGAAAATAAGTTTGTTACTTATATTCCATAATCTTTTAATAGAGTGTCATAAAGTAAGAGGATTTGTTTATTTGAAATACATTTAAATGTATTTATCTTGCCATGATGAATTACCTTTAAAAAAAAAAAAAAAAATCACACCTATATATCCTCCTGATGTTTGCTGCCTAAGAGCAAACAGCTTTTCTGTGCTGCTTATTTTCCTGATGATGTTAAAATGAATCTCTATTATGGTGAATATTTTTATACTCATTATTTTTCCACTCCTTCCTCATTCTCTTACCTTTCCCTGTCTTGAGACAGATTGTCAGTGGGTATATTGTCTGTTTAAGAATTCTTTATATCATATATTGTTTTATTAACAGACCATACTGTGTTTGATTATTGGAAAAAATTTACTAGTCTTTGCTTTCATCTGCAAGGTTTGCACAAGTATATGTATAAGGCCCATTCTCCCCAGCCACCACAGATTTGTTAAAATGTTTGACCAGCACGGCTCTTGTCTAATACAAGGAAGGATGCCTAAAACTGACCCATGAAGAATGTGTAAAGCAAAACAGCCAGAAAAAACATGTTGCACATACACTGATTGACAAAATGACACAAAGTGCACAAGTGTAATCTTTGTATCTAACTCCCACCTATGCATGCAATTCTGAAGCAGGGAACATGCAATCTTATTCCACAATAAATTCCCAAATGCTGGACTACCCAAAGAAAACAGGAGCAACAAAAGGTTCAAGGCTAAGTTCAGACCACCCAAAGTAAACATAATTTGGATTCGTATATGCATTTACATGGCGTAAGAAGCACTTACGTCACAACACTCTGATCATTGCAATGTCTCAGGAGGGTTAGACTCTTGTGATCAAAACTGTTTGTGATCACTGATGTTGCAGATCGCGCAATGGCTCATACCACAGCTGCTAGCTGGGCGAGTACAACCATGCACTGACCACTTGCTCTTCTATATGCCAGGGCTCCCTATAGCAAAACAGTTTGAATGGCCTCATTGCCACTGCTGTAGGTCTGCACTGCTGGAGACACACCACACACACCCCCCCTCAAAGTCCATGCACATTACCTTATCAAAATGGATTGCAGTCTTCTGGGTGAATGGGACCATATATAAAAACATTCTAATTCACTATTCCACTGATGACAATTTTATTCAGGATTATTTTTCAGTCATTTATCAAATGACAGCGAAGTAAATACGGATAAGAATCTGTTTTATTTTCTTTTTCTCTTCCCTATTAAAATTTTGGAACAGTGCTAACATAGTAAAAGAGGTTGTATAAAGAATTTTTTCAGTCACCCCCATCTACCATGCATTAACTGAATTCCTTCTGGATTAAACTAAAGCAGAAAATGAGCTCCAGCTAGTCATGGGTATTCAGTATTCAACACCAGACTAAAATAAGAACCACAATAAAGCTAGACATGCACACTGTGTGGATGTCAGGTCCTTAGCAATAACTGCAACATTTTGCTCTACAGATCCACTCCTATTATTATTTGCTAATGTAAAGTAGCATATTACAAAAATACTTCTGGTAGTTATATCAATTTGACTGATTTATTTAATTCAGTATCCTGATTAAATCAGAAAAAACAACTATTTCCACTTTTCTTGGAAACTTTCACTGGATTAAAATTTTTATTATCATTTGTTACACAAAAAATATGATCACTTTTATCTACTACATGTCATATTTCCTGTCTGCATTAGAGTAGTCAAATTTTCCATATGGTCTTTTGGAGTCCCATGAACTCCTTCCAAGACCCCTGAAGCTTCCCATTTTCCCTTTCACCAATCATTTTTTTTCAATAATTGCTAGACGTTTGTTCAAGACATATTGCTATACCGAGGAGAATCTGTCCTATGCTGAAAACAAACAGTTGCACAGAGTGAGTGTACAGTGTGATGAACAGCGTTTGGAGTAAAGAGAAGTGTTGGATGAGTACAGACACTATCAAAGCTGTTCTTTACTCAAAGTGAATACTAATGACAGTTGTTTCACGTTTCAAGTTAAAATCATACAGAACACACTGTTGCAAGGAAAATAGTTCACTTAAACATATTTTTCAACTTACAAGCAATCGATAACTATCCAAACACATTATTTTATTTTTCATCAGGATGTTTGTGATCCTAAAAAACGTACCCCAAAACCTCTCAGTTCTTGATTCTGAAAATATGACAAGCTTATTCATAGCAAAAGTATTTCAAATCTATATAGAAAATATTCTCATTTAAGTATACCCCCTACAAATTTTCTACACGAATACTACTTGAGCTCCTGAAAGAATGTAAATAAAAGTCCATAGCTGTGGTTTAGATTTCCTTATTACATCTAGCACCATAGACTCCAAAACAATTGTTTGCAATAACAATTCACAAGTTCTGAGACTCCTGACAAACGGTCCTACAGCAGTCAAAATTTCTTCACCAAAAGGGTTGTCAAGCATTGGAACAGGCTGCCCAGGGAAGTGATTGAATCACCACCCTGGAGGTATTTAGAAGACGTGTAGATGTAGTGCCTGGGGACATAGTTTAGTGGTGGACTTGGCAGTACTAGGTTAATGGTTGGACTCAATGATCTTAAAGGTCTTTTCCAACCTAAATGATTCTGTGATGCTATAAATGTGATTTGATCTTTTGAACTTCCCAATTCACAATGCATTAAACTGAGTTAAAAAGGCTCATGTAAAATGAGCTGAACAATCATGGGACAACTCCTCTTAGTTTCTACTAATCCAGAGCAAATTCGGCTTCTAATAGATTTTTCTATCACAACAAAAATCCTGTAAAATACTAAAATTAGTTAAAACAATGTGAACACAGCTCAAAGTAACAGTTACACTTTTTTTTTTTTTTTAAAATATGCTTTGTCTTTGGACAAGTTGATGCCCATCCAAGATATGCTGGTATTTGCCAGCAGACTTCTGCTTGTTAAGATATTCTGAAATAATGTATCTTTAAAAAAAAAAAATACCCAAAACAAAACCCAAACAAAACAACAAAAAAACAAAACAAAACAGAAAAAAATCCCACATCAGCCCACAATGGTTTCATAAATATCTTCTCTTATACACAATCAGTGGAGCCAAAAAAAAAAAAAAAAAAAAAAAAAAGGCAAAAGAAAGAAATGTAGAAAGAAAGACTGCAAAGATCTGCAAAGGTCACTTTGACAAATGTTTGCCAGTTGAAACAATGCATGGTGCACTACTTCCAATACAGTGCAAATGTAGATATCTCAGATATGCCAACAGATAAACTGAAATAAAATGGAAATCAGTTAGAAGGAGAGCTCACTTGAACAGAGATGCTAACCAGAATGCTAAAGAACTTCCGCATTCAGTTCAACAAACTTACCAAAACAAAGGACTGATTGGAGCCTATTTCTGGTCAGAACAGAGGTAAGGACATCCAGCAGACTGACACCACTCTGTTCGCATATATCAAATATAGATTAAGACACTTTTTGACTTAACAGCTCTTACTGCAAGCTGCCATGAGTTGACACAGACCAGTGTCCTCACCTTTAGACTAAGGGACAAATTAGATAACCCCTCCTGAAGCAATGTCAGGTAATGCCACTGTGGAATAAATGACAACTATCTGTTTTGTCGGAATTATTTGTTTTAGTGAAACTAGTACCATGTTGAACTCCAGCAATTTTGAAAACAGGTACAGTCATTTCAATATAGTATGCAAACTGGCTTTCTATATCATAAAAAAAACCCTATAATGACTGCTAAACACAGATACTTGAACTAAACCCTTAAACATTACTTCATTTCTGCATGGGTTACTTTTCATTTCAATAACAATTGTTATCAATGGCACAGACAGCTAGCATGTAAAATGCTCATGGCAAAAAAGACTACCTGTAAAAGAACCACTTGGGTAGAAGGAAGTCCCTGCCATACTGTATTTTAATGTTTCCTCCAGGAAAAGGCCTTATCTGGAATTAATAACGATCCTATCCATTTCCACCAAGGAATACCACATAGTTCCTTACCCAACAGAATACACCACCCTCCTCGCCCCCAAACAAACATTCGCCCATGCACCCACACACCCACCAGTTTTGCAAACTTGACACCTCAAGCAAGGATGATTTTCTCCTATCAGATCTCAATAAATATCTGAATACATCAGACCACCAAACATCATATCCTCGAAATCCGATTCAGCCAATGTCATCTCAATGCATTTTATCAAATAGAACTAATATCAGTAGTTTGCAAATATCACAGGAAAAGAATCTGGACTGGCAGACAAAATGAATCTCTAAGTTGTTTCTGATAAATGATGTTATCGCTAATAGGCTCAATATGTGCCACCCTCATAAACCAGAAAGGATGAAAACCCATAACACATTAATTTACTGGGTACCAGCAAAACATCAGAGATACAAATTCTGAAGTTCTGATGGGATGAAATGGGTTTTCATTTCTCCTAACTTCTCAGGGGAATCAAGATAAGTGTATACTAGAAGAGATGCATGTTTGATTCGTATCTGGCTTCTCCTAGGAAATAAAAAGCTTCTGGTCTCAAATACAGCAAAGTCTCTGGACCAGTACAGTGAAAAATGATGGAGTCTGAAAGGCACAGCCTCTTCAGTTCTTCACCACATTAAACCAGGCGAGCTGTGTGTAAGTAGCTTCATTAATATAATCTGATTTTATACTAAATAAATTATACAAGGGATACAAATAAGAAAATAGCTGACTTTGGACGAGTATTTATTTTTCAGTACAACTCACTGTCAGGAGGTGGTAGTGTCTTCTAAATTGCCAACGTAGCCTTAGCACAGAGTAAGATTTGAAACGTTTTCTTTGAGATGTTTCAGACTGGGATAAAACATTTCCTATTTTCCTTGCAAGGAATGGGACTGTGCTCTTAGAAATCAAGGAAAAGAAGAAGTAAAGAAGCAGCTTACTGGTTTGTATCTTAGTGCATCTCTGTAGGATCCAAACAGTGCTGCCTGTGCCCGAAGAAAGGCCTTGGCTACTCCATCACCCGTAGCTGTAGACTGCTTTTTCAGTTTATTTTTCAAGGCCGAGACCTGCATGACAGAGTGGAACAGTTAAATTAACACCTCAGAAATTGGTACAGCGAGGTATGAACCCAATCAGCAGGCAAACCATGGTGTCTACAGGTCAGCCAAAAATTCATCCTCCTCCTTGATAGCTTATCTTTTTAACTGCAAAGAGCACCTGCTGGTCTGTTAATTGAAATGAAAGCAGGGGATGATGGTAGAGTGCTAATGCAAATTGGTTTATGCTCTCTTTTTTCCCAAGGCCTCTTGACATAAATAAGCTTAATTATTTTACAGTAAACTGCATGTGAGCCACTTTTCTGCAGATTTTTTTTTTCTCAATCATAACATGTACCTACTTGTTTTGAATTAAGACAGTTGGATATCTTTTATTTATGCCATGAAGGCTGATTTTTAAGGACTCTTAATGGTCACTTACTATTCAGTTTTAGGGATTTTTTTTTTAAGTCAAATTACTATCTTACATAATTTCTTATGCACCATGGGAGTAGCTGCTACCACTGTCAAAGAGTGGAGAAAAGTTTGTGTAAATTCAGTGATACTTTGTCTTTAGCATTGTCCTAGAAGATAAAACACACCAAAGGGGAAAAAAATAAGAGTAATACTTACAAGGCACCTGTAGTTAAAAAAAACCAAACTAAACAAACCCCAAATCAAGACCATTCTTATTTTAGTGCTTTTTTTTTTTTTTTTTTTTTTTTTTAATTGGAAAGAGGTCTTTTCTGACTTGGCAAACAGCAATCACTGAGTATACAGAATTGGAAAAAAATTAGAAATCCTAATTTAGATGACCCTTACTTGGAGATACTTTGGAGAAAAATCATATAATTATGGAATTATTACAGTATTCTTTAAAGATACGTAGAATTATACCCAGTTATAGTCTATAGTCTCCTAATTTTCAACGTGAGGGATAGCTGGAGAAGTAAGTCAACTCCAGTTATGTTGAATACGTGTTTCTACAACCCTTTGTATTGCAATATATCTAATAAAGCAATATTTAAGTCACTAAAAACGATACAAAGTAACATTTAGAGTTACTCTTTAAACAGAACATTATAAACACAAACTATCACCAAAACAGCTTTCATTCTTACAGAAACATATGCAAGAATGAGCATCTTTTTGTTTCTTTACGCAAGGAGTCCAGACTGCTCTTGTAGATGATGATTGTAATTGAAGTGCCAACCTAATTAACAACTAAACTTTGAATAATGCTAATGAGAACCGAACATGACATCAGAGAAAAGACCAGCTCTACAGGTGATAAACCTTCACAGTAGTGACATTTTCCAGTGTAAAGTCACAGTTACTGTGATCTGATCAAAGAGAGAGACCCCCATTGGGTCCAATTATAACTATAGTTTTGAAAAAAAAAATTATTGAGTTATGATGTTCATAATCTATGCAGAAAGGTCTTTACAGTATAGGTCTTTTCCCCATAGCTGTGATCTTTTCAATTTATATCCAAGCTCCATAATCTGGATAAAAGTTTAGAGCCTGATTCGTTTAGCCCATGGAAAGCATACACCAAGGCTGCTTTACATTTTTTCCTCAAAAAAAAACAAAAAACAAAAAACAAAAACAAACCCAAAAAAAACCCCAAAACACCACCAAACAAAACCACCACCAAAAAACCTACAAGTCTGAGTACAAAAACCAGTTAAGCAGTTCAAGGTTGAAAAAATAAATGCATGTTTTGGGTTGGTTTTTTTTGTTCTGTACTGTATGATAATTTTAAAGTTATTAAAAATAAGGTTTATTTAATTTGGGGGAAATAAATGTATATAACCTTTGTACAAAGGAAATGTGCCCATCACCATTAGCTCAGTTTCACTAAAACAAAAGCAGTAACGTGGGGTCAAAAAAAGAATTGTCAAACTTAAAATGCGTCTGTCATAACAGACAAAGCATCTTCTAAATATAAAAGAGGGAAAAGGTCGAAAATTCTCTACATTCTTTTAAATCTACACTCTTCTAAACTATACCTTGTGAGTTTGGGGAAATAATGGCAGATGATAAGACAGGGTCAAAGAAGAAAGGGGTAAAGATGATGTAGAGCAGAGGAATTATAGGACAAAGTGAGGGATGTGAAGGAAAATGGTATTTTCTGATTTTCTCAGTTCTGGCAGGCCCTATGTACCCTAACATGAATCGATAAACAGGATGCTTTAGGCAAAAACATGTTAAAAAGAACAATAGAAAGCCACAAATCTCCCACTTCACTGCAGTATTGGTAACGTTATTAGTTCAACAATATTAAGAACATCCCAATGGGCTAGCAGTTTGAAGGCGGGTTCTCCAGCACAAAAACATGTAAGTCAGATGCATGGTTTTTGTGCTGCCATCCTGGAGGGAGTTCTAGCCTCAAAAAGGCTATGCTGGAGTTCAAAGAAAGATCCTCCAACACTTGATATTCTCAGAAGGCTATGCTAAAAGGCAGGAAGAGCTCTACTAGATTATTCTGCAGAAGTACTAGGAGCACAGTGCTCTTAAGAAAAAGCCTGCAGAGATAATGTGGGCCACAAACCTGATTTCCCAGTCATCACAACTGGAGTCCTGGCTGAAGCACACCTGAAGCACCCTTGAGACCTGCCTAGGTTTCCTTCAAGCTGAGGTCAGCAAACGTGCACACAGAGGGACAGTGCTTTCTCAGGGCTTATCCCACCGCTGAGTGATGGCAAACCCAAGCTGCGCATTTGGGTAGGTTGCCAGCAAATTCTCCCAGTTCCACAGTTTAATCAAAGTTAGCATGATAAAGTAGTTATTACAATCAATACAGTAGGTACAGATAAAAGAATGGGTGCTTTTAACTACTTAGAAGGACATGGTGTACAGCAGGATTGTGATCACTTAGATCCATGAACCTAAACCCAAAGAAGTGAGAGACCTCTTTGGATGACATCATTAACAGCTCCTAAAATTTCGAAGAAAATACACAGTTCTGGCACCAAGCCAAAAAGAATATGAAGCAGCATCTTTATCAAAATCTTTTCCTCATATATGCTTTAACCAATTTATCTATCTATCTATGATTAAGAATGACAGATTTCCCCCCCCCCCCTCTTCTTTGCATGTCTTAAGCAGAAATAGACTTTTACAAAGTTTAAAAATAAAAAACTCCAAACAAACCACAGGGGTTAGAATGCTGTTAAAATTTATTTCTGGAAGACACTAGTGATCTGTTTCAGAAATGGTATTATTAATTTACACTATAAACAAACTGGTTTTATCTTCTCCTAGCAACAGCTTCTCGTAGGAAGGTGACTTCATTGGACTGCTAAACACTACCAATGAAGAGCAATCAGAGCTTCAGGAAGGTTTAAATCAACAGAATAGTTTTTCACAGATTTAGAAAGTCGTGAGATTGATACATGATTTTTCTTTCACATGTATATCTGAAATGTAGAAACGTATGTGTTGGTCATTAAAAAAAACCCATTATTTTTTAAAATAGTCACCCTATGTCCTTTCTAAGGTTCCTAAAATATAATTATATGATTAGAAACAAAGCATGTTAATATCTCTTCAGTATTCATGTGAGTAGAAGAATAAAACTGCTCATAAAGTTAAAAAAATAAATTAGTAAAATGATATACCTATTAATCAAAGCTTCTGCTCCTGCAAAAACTTAAGCACACATATAAACTTAAGCACATATAGAAGTATTCAAAACCTTTGTCACCTGACAAATGCAGAAGCATGCATTGAGGTTCCTAATGACCACCAGATCTCTTAAAAAAAAAAAAAAAAAAAAAAAAAAAAAAAAAGGTATCCAGGTATTTCTCTGGTACCAGTGACAGTTGTTACGCTTGAAACTATCTTTTGGTGTTCTCCACCAGATCACGTCACTATAAAAGTAAGCCCACTCTCAACAGCGAGAAAGTGAGAGAAGATGGCATAGAAGAGAAACAAACCAAAACCCTTACAACAAAGTGGAATCTGATATGATTTAAATCAGTATTGTTAATGAAAGGGCTTCTACATATTTGATATTATCTACATATGCAGGATTTAGACATCTCAGATAGCCCTCCAGCATTTAATCACAAGTACTTGTTTAGACAAAAACAACTACTTAAATGCAAATGCTTTCAAAACCAGTTGTACTTTTCAATCTCACGTTCTAGCTTCTAAAAGTATATCAAGGTTCAATGGAATCTCAACTCTAAGAATTTATTCAAAATAAATAGTTGCCTCATAACACTGCAAACACTACTGACTGCTCTGAGTTTTTAAAATATATTAGTAATATTTTTGGCTATTTTCTGATGGGAAAACATAAAAATTATTATATTTAAATTTTACAAAACAATCTTTTTAGTTGCACTGTTATACGTTCACCATAACTTCTTTATAATACTATCATTCATTGTATTTTCTTAAATAATTTGCACTCCCAGTAATTGTTTTATAAAGTTCAATTTTCTACCTGAATTACAGCCTACTTCTCAAATGCTACTTTTAGAACAGTAATGTTCATATGCCCCATTTATGGTATTAAAATACTGTGACTTTAGGAATCTCAAAAATAAAGCTCTAAAACCCATTTAGACTCTGTATTGCATCCTAGCGTGTAGGCACCACACTACAAAGGCCATAGCCTTTCAACAGCTCTGTAGATTTTACGGTTAACAATATTTAACGACCACAGAAGATGCTAAAAACCTATAAAGCTTATTTTTTTCTGAAGATCATATTTATAAAAGTTCTGCTTAGTCTATGGAGAAGTCAGTAAAACTTGGTTGCTAAACATGATGCCCTCAATTCTCCAAGCTTTTTTGGAAAGTGTTCAAATTTGAGCAAAGGAGTCGTCTTTTTGTCTTTTTGCAGAGTTAACTGCAAGCAGGTATTGCAGGATCAGACCCAAAGTTTATAAATTTGTGTCTATGGTCTCTGCTAATTTATATACATTACAAATGTTCTTTGTCTAACATCTTACATTGTTAAAGTGGTGATCCAAGTATTATTTTATTAGGAAATTTACTCCCACAGAAGTACCTACTTATTTTCCTTTTTTTTTAATTAAAAAATAATAGACAAATTCACAGTGAAATGATGAAATTTAAAAACAAGTGTTCTTGTCAGAAGAGAGAAAAAAGAGGGTTTTTTCCCCCCTTTAAGAAAACAAAGGATTCCTGAAAGTCTTGCACTGATTTATTTTTCCAATTTTAAATACCTTAGGAGTAGCGGAACTGCTACTGGCATGGTAGTATTTCTAACAGTCAATAAATCTAAAATATTATGTGTGAATATTGGAATGAAGCCATTAAGAAGATTACAGCATGCAACGCAGCAGAGGGTCCACATGAAAAAAGGACTGGTAATTCAGGACAACTGTGACCACTGACCTTTGCACAGTCAAGACCACTGGTCAGTCTGACAGAATAATGGAGTTCACATGCATAGAAAGTCATCTAGCCTGTAACTATAATTTAAATGCTTAAGTGAATGATTTAAAAATACCTTTAAATCTCACTTAATTTATTATACAGTTTATTAGACAATGCCATATAATAATGTTTTTTCGATCTTAAATTTATCATGAAAAAAATCACAATCAGAGCACTTTAATAGACATATTACTTATACATGGGTAAACTATGAAATACCTATGCTGTGAGGACATCAGGCTTATTGATCAAAAAAAAAAATTACTCAATTTCCTTCAGACACAAGAAACAGTTTTAGAAAACTCTTTGAAAATACTGCATTTCTGTTGTTAGGCTGTTAACCAACCTGGAATCAATTTTTGAAAGGGATACTAAGACTACAGCTTCTTTTATATTTTCAGTTCTTCATTCTATTTTAACACCCTTCAGAGGTACTCATTATATTTTTTCATCAGAAGTTTTACTACCTTTGTGTGTATGCTTATGAGGTTTATTTATATAGGTTAAAATGCTGCACATATGTAAGTATCTTCGGCATTTGCGTTGTTTTAAGTCTAACTTACCATTTTGACTCTACACTCCTATGTCTTACACTTTTTAACTGAGATGTTAGCAGTTATACTGGCCCCCATGAACGCAAAAGACAGACAAGCATTTTGTCATTTTATGAGCCAAACACAGACGTTGTCTGTGCCTTTTGTTCCCAGGCTTTCCAACTATAATTGTGTATGTTTTCCATCAAATTGTTTTAATGAAAGTGCTTTACAGACTGAAGTAGAGGAGGACATGGGAATATTCAAATTAAAAGCTTCATCATAAAATCCTCAGATTCTGCAAGTATATTTTGCATAAAACATAGTTGTTCTGTTTTGTTCTATATTAGATATGGAATGAAATATTTTAAGTCTACTGTATATTCTGTACACTTGGATAACCTTCATTAACATTAATAATAGTAACATGCATATATCCTGGGGGAGAATATACTTCTAAAAGTATGAAGATCTGTATCCTTACTTTCTTCATGCTAGCCTACTCATTCAGACATCATTTTGATATGCATCTGTAAAATACATGAGAAGTCCCTCTCATTGCACAAATACCCTTTTTTACTGTTCAAAGGACCTCCAGCTACAACTCCAGTATCTTAAGGAAGATGATGCCTAATTCTCAATTCTACACCTAGCTATTTTTTTGACAAGAGGTGTGTACCTCCATGACATTATAACCTCAAGCTTATTCACTGAATGCAAGGTCAGTTAAAATTACTGACACACCAGAAAATGACTCATTTTTTACTTAACTTGCTATACTCTCGAATAGAGTACAGTCAAAATTACTACATATACACATGTATCCGTGTGTATACTTTTTCATACACTAATGTAAAATCACAGACTAATTTTTATAGTCCTTCACATTTCTGAACTATAGTTGATACTGAGTCAAAAGAAAGGCTGATGAAGACGATCCTTAAAAAGTCTAGATTTTAACATCACTAAAATCAAAAGGAACAGACCTTAATATAATCATCAAGAGTTTGATTTCTATTGTACCAAATATATACAAATTACCAACAAAACCAAAAGACATAGTACATCACTACAGCACCTTACTTTAAGACAGTTTGTTTTTATGATTTACAATTTCAGAAAATATAACACTTTGATTTCACATTTTGATACAAAATTCTTTGTGCTGACAACCATTTGTGATAGCTTGAGCATCTATAACTAAATAATCAAAACAGTGGTTTCACAATGATACTCTTTTAGGGGTCTGTTGAGAAAAACAAGGTAAGTGAATTTTGTGACTATTTAAAATGATATACAGAATATGTTCCCCTATAGGCAATAAGAAAAAAAAAAAAGGGGGGGGGGACGACACCCTCTGCAAGATCAAAGTCCAGAAAGAACTGGCACTTAATTTATCATCCTTTACAGACAAAAGACAGTTTTCGTCATTTCAAAAGGATCAGATGTCTTTTATGACAAACTGGGTTTGCAGTTTAATTTACAAATAGAATTCTAAGTAAGCAGTCTTTGCTCTGCCAAAGCAAATGACAAACAGTATAGGTTTTCATTCACGCAGCCCTCAGCAGGATAGAAGAGATTAAAATAAAACTGAAATAATTTAGAGAAAACAAATAAATGTTTCAGAAAGTTGAAGGAGATCAAAGCCTGAATTTTCTGACCCCAACTGTACAAGCATTTCTTATTATATTGACCAGTGCCATCAGATCATTAATTAAAAGGAAAGCGCTGGCAGGTGGCAGGGAAGCAGAAGCCGATAATTGGCCCCCTTCTTCTTTTTGCCTTCAAAAACTCTCTCGTTCTTTTGCAAGACATGCCACTAGGCAGACAGAAATGCCTACTTTGTAATATAATGATTAAGATGACATGAAGAGACTCTTGTGTTTAAAGCAGCTATGCCTAATGAATGCAGCTAGCTTTATAATTATGATCCTACTTTTACAATAAGGAATACGATGTTCCATTCAACATCTCCTCAACTGTCAAAAAGGCAAAAATCTCAAATATAGGTGTCTATACTTGGTGCTTTTCACCCCTTACTCCTTTCATAGCAGTTAGCAAAACCAGGCAAGAATAACTACTAGTAATTCAAGCATCTACATAAGAAAGAAGGAATTAAATATCTGTAAGACTCACCACTTCACCAGGTAGGTTGTTCAGGTCATTAAAGGGGGTTTCTAGAGTGTTTGTGTCAACATTTAGCAAAACCACATCCTCCAGTGATCTACTTTTTACTCTCTGTTAAAAGGAAAAAAAAAAATAGTGGAAAAGCATTTTACTATGGCATCCCCCGAAGTACATTTTTATTATAATGTGCTAGATTAGAAATGGTGATTTTACAAAGGACAATAATGGCAAAGACAATATTTTGAACTTTAGATGTAGGATTTGTGAATTAGATGCAGGATTCAGAGTAGCTTTTAAAAACACTTCCTCTTCATCAAACAGTGAGGTTGTATTAATAATCGCTGAAATACAAGCATATTCAAAAGATGAATTCTTGAAAACCAAGATTTACACAAACCACAGTTAAATATATTGGAACTATGCATACCTTGTAACAACATTTCATTCTCTCATATTTGTGAAAGATAGGACGTTAATCATAGAATCAGATGAAAAGCAGAGAAAACTAAGAAATTATTTGCAGCTTTATCTAAGTCCCAGGCATATGATGTCTACTAGTATTATAGAAGAATGGATGAAACAATCTTTCATCAATGGACTTGACTAGCAGCTAAGAATTAAACAATTTGTTCCTTTCAGGAAAAAAGGATACAACTCTCTTCTATATGGTCCTACAATAGTACATAATAGTGCAGTCCAGCAAATAATTCCAGAAGGAATTGAATGACTTCTTTTTCAGAGCAAGCCTTTCTGTTCCATTATTTTCTGATGGAATAAGGAAAATTATTCTAGTCAAGGTGATAAGATCGCTGTATGCAGACCATAAGAACTTGATTTGAGAGAACAGAAGGCTATGCCTAGAGTTAAGAAGTGTACATGATAGAAGGCTCTTTTTTGGAAACACGAAAGTGCTAGTGGCTCAGACTGGGGGAGAACCCACCTCATCAGCTTAGCAAATATGAATTGATCCTTAGAAACTGCTTTAGCAGAAGAGTAAATCAAATAAAGTTCCCAAATCAGTTATCTACTCTGCATGATAAACAGACTACACACGTAGGCTTAGTGGTGTCATCAAATGGTTACAGAAAGAGGCAGAGCTATTTATGACCCAGCTATTACTTACCGCTTCAGTGAGTTCTATTGTTTTGTTGTATGTTTAAATCTGAAAAGGCTACCTCCTGTTTCTTCGCAGAAAATACTCATTTCTAAATTAATAGTTATGAATGTTATGGGATGAATGTTAGACACAGATTTTCAGAGGGACAGGAACATAAATTATCTGGGAAATCAGAATGATGCTGAATTCTGATTGATGGTGATGCCAAGATAAATTTTAACTGTTCTTATTACTGGGAAAATCTGTTGCTGAACCACTAAAAAAGGCAGGGGAAAAAAAGCTATCGTTGAGCTATTAAATAGACACAGAAACAAATCATGATGTAGAACTTACACGTATCCAGAAAACACTTCAAAAGTAAGATTTCAGAGAGGGACTTTTTTACTTTGTAAAGCATCTGAAGCTTAAATTTTGTAATTCTGTATGCTAAAAACCAGGGATTCTTTCTGAAGCATTTCCATTTAAATTATCATCTATGGCACACAGACCTCATGCTTACCAGTACACAGAAGTGTATAGTAAACTTACCTCTATTAAGCTTAAGTGGACACCAATCAGATAAGGCATTGGTGCACTGAAAAAAAGTGCAAAAGATCAAATTATTGTTTTAAATACCAACTACTACAACGTTTGTGGAGGAAAAAAAAAAATTAAAATCTTGGCACATACAGTCCTGAGTTAACGTTCACTGTTTAAGCTTGTATTAAATCTACAATTGCTACTGAAATTTTTACTAGACAAGGGAAATTTTATTTTATTTTTTTTTTTACCCTGCAGTAAAGATGACCACAAAATAAAGGACACTGTTCCTAACTGTGGAAGTATGAGCGAGAAGACATGTAAGGCTTGCTAACTGGCTTACCATATCTAGTTTAAATAACCAACTGTACTGTATGGCAGAGCTAATCTAGCGGATGTTCCAAAAGTAGTGTGTCTCTAGAACTACAATGCTTTTAAAGACCATTCTGGAGAATATGGTACCAGTTAACATCAGCACACTGCAATGCAAACATCAGTAACACCAGTTTTGTTTCTGAATGTGCTTCTGAAACCCTTCCTTGGTGGGCATTTGGAAGCTGTGTAATATCCTAATTAACTCAAGATAGTAAACTTCTCATTTCCAATATGAATAAGACAAGGAACTATCTTCTCAAAATAAAACAAATATCCACATAAAGCCTCTGGAGTGAGACGTCCTGCAGCATGCAAGCAAGAAACTGAATTAGTCAGGCTAATTTATCATGGTTTCCTATAATCTTCTGTTTCATCCTCTAGTGAACGTGTTCTGGCACCATCTGACAAAGAATATACTCAGTATGAAGCACTAAAGGGAAAAAACATCCAGTGATCATCACACTTTTGGGTACTGCAAGATTACTACGAATATTCACTCCAGAGAAGCGAGCGATAGATAGGCTGGTTTAAACAACTCGGTGGGAAATGAAATACTAAGGGAGTACAGAGAGAAAAACTAAATAAAAATAATCTCTGAAAAATAAATGAAAGGTAAAATGACTCATAAGAAGTTACACAGATAGCTGGCATACAATAATTTCTCCCATTGTATTAATTCGATCATGGATCTGAGCCACTGGTACGGACTGATTGGCAACTGACTTCCTGAAGCCCAGGGAGAGACCTCACTGCATCAGTTCACATGGCCACATAAATTTGGTCCAAACTCTGGGAGCAAAAGTAGCAATTCTCACCTGCCTGCGACTGCAGCCAGTTTTAGAAAAATCTGTACGCACTATGGATTAGCCAATTGCTCCCATTAACAATGTCCCACAGGAGGGGACCGATGCAAAAAACCAAAACAAAACAAAAAAAAAAACCCCACCAAACAAAAACCCACCCAAACCCCAGACTGACTGAGGCCAAAACAAGATTTCATCATGTTTATATTATCAAAATAAAGGTTTGCTGAGACTGCAAACTGTCATGGCTTAAGGTTTCTAGACAATGGGGCTTCCAAAAGTGGAAATGGAGACCCCTATGTCCCCATACATCTTTTTCGTAGCCCAATACCGAAAAACTTCATCCAGGCTAAGGCCTTATGCCTTTGTGGACTAAACAGAAGTTACATAGAATCATAAATGGGTGTCCCTCCAGAGCAGACACACATTTATATTCAGTGAGGAATCAGACAGCTTTAAAACACTCTATAATAAGGACACTTTATACTACATACCATATTTAACCAAGCCAATGAGAATGACTATGACTGATACGCAACTGAGGATTCTTCTGCTGAATATGTGCAGCAAAACAGATCCTCAGGTTCATCACATCAGAGTTATCTTACAAATAACATGAACTGGAGAAACTACAGTGAAAACAAGTGCTATATCACATAGGTATTTTAGGCACACTTGTCTTCTTGTACACCAACACTGTTCTAGAAGCTTCACCAGACCTGTACCCACTTAAAATAGCTGATGATTTGCTCCATTAATAAATCTGTCATTAAAAAGGGTAGCGTGTAGCTCTTTTCTATAGAATAAAGCAACAGCTACATCATTTCAGCTAACAGAATAAAGGTACAAAGCTAATTAGATAAACACGTCTTGAAAATGCATGAAATAAAAATTGCGGGTATGGAAAGTCAATTTTATCATTTTCATCAAAAGAACAAATCTTATTACCGTTGGATTCTGAAGCCTTAACAGCAGAGGTTTGCAATAGGTACATGAAATTGCTTACTATGATACTACTGGGAGCCACTATATAGTTTTTCTCTTGCTTATGCATGTTATTACCAAAAATGTTATTTATCTACAGCATCATTGCCTAAAATAATTACTATGTTATGCAAAACATGCAAGGTAATTGGAAAATAATTGTCCCATTCTCATGAAAATAGGCGTGCCTATATCCCAATTCAGAAGAGACCAAATCTCACAAAAAGACATGTTGCAATTGTAACTTGAATTTTCTAATTGCATTATATTCTTAGCAGAGCATCAGTAGAACAGATGCTTTATCATCCACAGACAAAACTGTCATACATTCTTTTATCAGTGACTTAGTTTGCCAAGAAATTACACAGAAATTTGATGAAATAAGCTTTCTCCTTTACAAAAATTAATTTTATTCCAATATAATTACTATATCAATGCTCAAACTTAATTTTTGTAAAAGCTTTCAAGAAAAGCCAGCCACCTACTGGGCTGAGTGCAACAATATCTTTTTGCTAACTTAAATGCAGAAAAGAACTAAAGTCTCAAAACATATTCAGAAAATTAAATTTTTAGTAACTCTCTTGTGTTTGCTTCCTCTAGAGCTAAAACAAAAATTACTTTCACTGACTAATATTTTGCTATCTTTCAGAAAAAGGCATTTATTATCTCTCTTTTTTTTTGGATAGTTGTTCCAATTCTCACACTGACATTCTCATAATGGAATTTGAGGCCAAGATAAGCTATGTGGGGGGAAAAAAAAACAATCCTGAAGTAAATAAATACATGGTATGTTCACACACTGGACCTTGCAAGTACTCATAACCTGGCCAATCCTGACAGCATTACAGTCCACAATGATGCTCAGTACTGGTGGGTTTGTACTACTTTGAGAACATCTGTTACATTATGTCTAAAACCAGTATGTATATCAGGTTGCCTGATAGAACCTAAGAGGCTTTTTGATTAAAAAGGCAAGTGGAAGAATTTAAATATTTTTTTTAATATAGATCTGTTTTCTCAAAGATACATTTTTGGTTTTTCATGCCCACAAAACATACCAGCTGAGCAGTTTATGTAATTTATCAAATTCTAATTCCTACAGACTTATATCATTTATCTTTACGAAATTTTGAAAATATATAGTCCAACTCATAAAAAAAATTGTGGACTTCTCCAAAATATGTTGGATGATTAACATGCAAAGAAAAATTGCAGGATAAGGGCCTATATTTAAACTAGTAGATTTAAATGTATTTTATCTTAGTTTAAAAATAGCCTTACTCCCTTGGAACGAATAAAATTATCAAACTGATAATCCCCTGCTTCATTTATTTGAATATCATTTCAGAACAACACTAAGAAAATGAGAGTTCATGAGAGACATCCCAACAAAGTCCAAGTGAAGCAATGACAATGTAGTTTCTAGGAATGAAAATGCATGTTAAGCTAAAAGGAAAAAAGGCACTTTTATAAAAAGAACTTTGCTCTATCAAAATGAAAATATAAAAAAGAATTAGAAAATTATTTTATTAATTTTAAATTGACATGACCCTCTTGGACTGCACACTAGGTCTGGCCTAGGATAAACTTGGACCTTATGAATTCATCAAGGTTCTCTAACTTGATATATCGTATACCTATGAGGAAAATGTTTATTCACTCTTAATACACCAAAACATGAGGAAAGCTAAGTATTTTATGTGTTTATATTACACTATTCCAACCTGTCTCACAAAAGAACCATTCAAACCAGACATGACCAGACAAATGTAAATGAACAAAAATCTGAGTTAAAAGGTCTGAATTATAGTTACTGTGGTAAATTCATCAGTTGTGCATTTCCTTTCATGAACTTTAAGTTTCCATTTGAACATCTCTATAAAAGGGAAACTTTTTTTCCCCCGCTCTATTGTACTACTGTGAAAAAGAAAAAGGGATATAAATGAGTTTTACAAGTTTAAGAAACTCCATGCTTCTTTTTAATGAGTAAAAAAAATTCTCAGGTCATGCCATAATGACCTAGAATCTCAACTATTATCATCATCACAAGCAGCTGTGTACAGCATCTAACATTATTATTTCTGGAAACATTATCTGTGCTTAGGAGGGGAAATAAAAAAAAATCTTCTAGTATTCAGGATGCACTCTGCAGGGTACAGCTTGAATAAAGGTGTTGATCTACCTTCTGAGAACAGCATTTATGGATGATACTGAAGAAATTACAAAGCTTCTGGCAGTAAGCTCAAGTAACACAAAAACTAAACAAATACATCCAAGCTCTACCCCCATCTTGGTGTATTTTATCAAAGCTAGGAGGAAAAACAATTAGGACAGAGTTTCTTCAAAAGAAAACTATCATTAAAGATGAAAGGCTTAGCTATAGTTGAAAGTAAAGGGAGGAGTGGGAGAAGAATATTTGATTTCTTTTTAAAAATAATAAATAATATACATATGAAGTTTAGGAACTTTCACAGAGAAAGATATACCATGGGCAAATATTGTAAATTTGAGGAAAAACTATCAAAGAAACTTAAGGAAACATAATGAGTATTTCTTTGAAAAAGGAATTTCAATAGACTGGGTGGAGTTCAATGGAACATCAATATTTATAGGTACCAGAAGGAAAACAAAACATGAAGTCCAGCAAACATATAAGCATAATTTATTTCTGTGAAGAAAAACATTAGTAACAGAAACATAGACTTATGTTGGTAGGCATCTGACTTGGACTTGGTTTTTATACATAGTAACAATTCCTGGTCTCTAAAATGGCTTTAAATGGCTCATTTTTCTACCACAGATCCATAGGGTCTAGTTAAAGTGAAAGTCTCCAGGGATGGATACTCCTGTTTTCAGTGCTTTAATGGAAATTCTCATTTGGTATCTCTGGCACTACTACAAATAAAAGAAAGCAGATTTCTTCTTAGCCTGAAATCTTAAAACACAGGCATGTGGAAACATCATCCCTTGAAGGTTCAGAAGTGACTCAAAAAGTGATTCTTTCTTGTTCAACTTAAAAATTTGCCAAAACCACAAAGTCTGTCATGTGAACAGAAACATATCAGGAGAAACAGTATTCTTAAAATGAAAATTTTGGAAGTACCAAAAGGAGATTTTAAGCTCATTCGGGAAGGTGTTGCACAGGACCCTGAACCTGGCTGAGTCTAAAATACAAACATTAAATCATTGGACAGACCTAAGGGAAACACTGATGCCTACTAACATTTGATTCCAGAAAAACTGATCAGTTGTTGTTTTTTTTTTTTAAATGCTTCTATGAGTATCATTTATCTCAAGTTAAAATAAACGCCAAATAAAAGAAAACCATAACACAGCCACATTTAAATTACTGAATGCATTCTCTAACAATAAAATAGGAACAGTTATTATAAACACGATTCTAAATGCTGCATTGATAGTAATCAGCACTGTAATTCAAGGTACCAATTCAAACACCATGTTAAAGGCATGCTGAAATATCTCTGTTCAAGTCATCATTTAAGCACTGGCGTAAGTACTTTCATAAACTGGATCCTGTACATTTAGTCACATAAGTAGTGTTTTCATCAGTTACTTAGGATTACAGCACAGGTAAGGATCTCAGAAATTGGGATAACAGGTTAGCTGTCTTACCAGCAGTAGTCCAGAAGATGTGGAGGAAGCACTGGGATGTAAATGTGTTGCCAATACATTGGATATAACAATGCAGCTGATGCATGAACACAAGCAGTTAACTAAAAATAAAAATACACACACAGAATTGGCAACAAAAAATATGAATAAAAAGAAAATACAAAATCTTAACTTTTAGACATGTAAGAATCTTAACCTCCCCAAACCACCTATTATAGCATTTTTAATTACTTTTAATTGCTTAAACGCATCTATGCAGAACCCTGATATACATATACAAGTACAACATTTGCGAGAAGTCAGACTAACAAGTCAATTAAAAGTTAGCCCTGCTCAGCTATTTCCTTGCAAAAAGAAAATAAACATGCACTACTTGATGTTTATCAAATGTGGGTACTGCCATGAACACACAGAACTTGACTGCACCCCAGCTGCACTCAGCTCTGCCAAGTGGGAAAGACTCAGGGTAGTTTTTTTGGTCCACATTTCTGCTATTTGGAATAACTGGAATTGATCTGAACCTGCATGAAGCCACGGAAGAGCAGTAAACTCAGGAGCAGGATTAACTTCTGTTTGTGTCACTACTTTGATTTCCAAACTACCTTTAAAAAAATCTGAAATGAATATCCCCTGTGACAGTGAAGCAACTTTATTACAATTTTCCGTAGCTCCCTTCCCAAAGCAGAGACTGGCAAGTCTGGCACTAGCTTAACCAGAAAATGAAGGACTCCTTGACCAAGAAAGGTGGTGTTACAATCTTCTTACCATTCAAAACCTGTTTTTCTAAAACAAACAAGCAAGCAAATGAAAAAACACCACAAAAAAACCCAACTAACCCACCCTCCCAAAAACATGGAATTGATTAGAAACATGGTCTAGTTCACCCCTCGAGTGAACAAAATAATCTGCAATACCTAAAGAATTCAAATTTGATCTACCAAATACCACTTTGCTATCATGGAGTCACTCAAATTTATTTATTTAATTACGCAGCCACAAAGTTACAACAGAATGAGAAAACATCAAGACTGTGTTCAAAATAAGGTAGCCTATATCCAGCAAATAAAACAGTACAAACCTCATAAAGTAAAAACAATTTTTAAAAAAAAAAGGGAATGCCCCATGAAGAAGACACCAAGCTTATGGAAAAAGACAAGACTGTCCTAATGTTTTATATCACAACAAAATTACTATCTGAGGTTAACTTGATAATAGTATTGTTTATTAGACATGTACTTGTACAGTAATGAAACAAAGAGCTAAAAATAAAATGTGAATCCCATCCATACAGCAAGTGCTAAACCATTATGGATTTTACAGGAAAAAAAAAACCTCTCTTTGTGGAACGGATCAGCAGTTAAAGCTTTCACACTCTGGCTGTCTCGGACATTTAGACACGTAAATAAAAATTACACTGCAATTTCGTGCATGTATTTTTACACTAAAAATGAAAAAATAATTGTAAGACCATCGCAGCAGAAATCCTGGACAATTACAATTTGTGCAGCATAGTTTGCTCAGCACTCAGATTAATCTAACACGATTAAATATGGAAAAGAAGAGGGTCTGAAAGCTCCTGAGGGATATCATTAGGGCAAATTGCCAAAGAATGAAACATGAGCCAGTCAGGAGAGTCTGGAAGCTGCAGTAGTACCAAGGGACTTGAATGTTCGACAGTTGGAGCTTCAGTAACGTGTGAACTGCAGGTTAAGGTATCAGGAGACTCTGTTCACTGACACACAGAATGTCACTATTGACCAGCGAACTGCCCGAGCCTGACAGCTACACTACAGAAAGCCAAGTATATCATAATTCTGTATTTAAACTCTTCATTTCAGATTAACATCTTGTTTCTTAGCTTTACATCAAACCTCTGCAACTCCTCTCATTTTAGACTTATAATAATGGCTATTTTAATAACTACTCTGTTGTTACTGAGAATTAATTGATTTGGAGGAAGAAATAAATTAGTATCTTATCCCTCTTCTTCACAGTGGGATTTATGAGTTTTATTTCCATATTATCTCTCTCTCTCTGTAGTTTAACTGAAACTACTGATAGCGCAGTCAAGCTGAGTATCATGTTTTGTGCTCTTTTACTCAAAATGGATACGGAATTACTAATTAGTATGTCCACGTACTATTGTACACAATATATAAATTTCAAACTGCAACTCTATATCAAAATTAGCACTTCATATATTTCAATCACAGACTGAAATAAAGCTCAGCATACAGTTATACAGGATATTGCCCAATGTATACAGCCACCTCCTCCTCCTCTTAATAAGCATTCCTAAATTATGAATTAAGATGACTATACTATTTGCATGAAGAAACATTCTCCTATCTTACACATACGTCTGTGTTATCTTTTAGTTCTCACTTGAACAGAGGAAGTGGATAATTCCTTAAGAACATCTGAAGTTTTATTAGTTCTTGTTTTACAATCTATATTTTGGTGTGGCACTCAGACTGGCATTTATTTAACATCTGCAATTAAAAAAATTCTACCACATTTTAGCATTTCTAGCAGGAAAGGTAAAGATTTGATTACTTACACATCAAAGTTTTGCTGTACTGTTCCTTGCTTTTCTATTTAACGACATGTTAATGTAACACCATATTTAAACATTTCCATCTATGCTGCTGCAGTAGGTTTCCAAACATTTTAGTATGGCATGAATATGTTGTATAGTTTCCTGTTGTATACAGCCTGTAATACAAGCAGCTATGGGATTCTGCTGCTCTTCAAACTGTGTGACATTTTAATACTGTGCCAACTCTGCCTTTAAGCAAATACTGATAAGATAATTATGGATTTCATATAAAAAATTGCACACTTTCTGGCAAATTCTCTTTTTATCTTTTTTACTGTTTCAACAGTGACCACATTTCTCAAATGCATTAGCTATTTAAATAACTTACCTCCTTAACTGACATATTCAGTGTTCTAAATGGAATGGGGACTACTGCAAATCTTGGAATAATGCTGCATGTCTTAAGTAACCAGACAGTTCAAGAGATCTGAAAAACATTCGGGGACCAGGTAGAGCCCAACTGCTTACATCAGAACACAGAGCTCTATAAAGGCCACACTGGATTTGGAGGGGTGTCTGATAGCATCTGGGCTTGGGAGCAGAGCCAGGCAGAGCCCCAACAGGCACCCCACCGAATGCTGAAGGAGGAGACGGTAAGGCAGAGAGCAAAGCACAAGCTCCTAGGTGCAGAAATGAGCATCTGTTGCTTGACCAAGTGGTGAGACCTTTTGCAGAAAACAATTCTTTATGCTATTTAGGGAAAAAGGCATGTGTATGGAGCCTGTCTCTTGATTGCTATCTATCCCAAAAGGAATTACCAAGATCCACCTTTTAAAAAACAATTGTAAGAAGAGAAATGTCATCAATCAGAAAAATCTCTTTTTCAAGACAGGCAGTTGTTATCCTAAATTATCTTGAAGTCATCTTCAAGGCTGTGTAAAACCTTACCTATTTTGCCAGCAACAACTGGAGATTACCTCAACTGTGAACTGTGATCCCCTTTACAGATAAGCTCGTATATACAAGTTGAAAGCATCTGTCCAATAAAATTTGCTATATATTTATGTATACACACAAACATATCACTGCTCAACTCTGCAGTTTGCTAAAAAAATCTTAAGTTACAGCAGAACAGTGCTGCAGAAGCTAGTTACTGCAAATATGATAGTTTATTACATGTTTTGATGCAACAAATGATGTTGAGACATCCTCCTACTGTCCACTGCACTGGAGAAGACCTACCAGAGTTGTGTTTCTATCCATAATAAAATGAGCGGGCAGTTTTTAAGTAAAGTTTTTGTGTGTTGAAACCCATCTGTCAATACTGAACAGAACTTTTAATATTTCTGCTTCCAACAATTTTGATTTTTTAGACTGTTTTTCTCCATTTCAAAGAATGTCTTCTAGTTTAAACAACTTTTATTTCAAAAATAAATCTAATTATGGTTTTAAAATTGGTTTAAATAATGTGGTTTTAGATTACATAAACAACATGAGTCAATTAACTTGAACTAGTTAAAAAACAACTTTTAACAAAAAATTTCAATGTTCAACCCTCTAAGAGACAGACAAATTTAATTTGAAATCCCTAGCATTTGCATTGGACATGAAAAGAAGTTTCCTGTCCCATTCTATCAGTAATGAATTTACTAACATTACTGAGTACAACTGAAAGTTTCAGTCTGTTTCTGATCTCTTCTGATAAGACAACTGCAGGCAGCATCACCATATAAGCTTTCATCACCCTGCAATGAAAGTATGTGATGTTTTCTCCAGAGTTTTGCAGTGATTCTGGTACAATAATTTTTGTCTCCTGAAAAAAAAAAAAATGCTGGAACTATGTGCCTGGTGATAATACAGTCTCTCCAAATAGCGGGAGACTACGTTACAAAGTTAGTTAGCAAAATTCATTATTGGGTGACAGTAAATTGATTACTACCAAATCCCCGCAAGACTGAAATAACACACAAGTTCTAGAAAATTATCAGTTGCTTTCCACCTTATGGCAATAAGCAGCCACTTGGGAAGACTGTTGTTCAAAACCTATGGACTGCTGAACAGGAAGAGTCAGGAAAAGTTTTAGTTCAAGATTTGATCAAAGCAGGTTTACCTGCTCCTGGGAATATGAAGAGTGCATCTCCTCCCTATCCCTCACATGGATGCAGTAATTCTGATGTGTGTATCTGCTACCCCAATCCTCACTTCTATCAATGAACCTTTCTACTCTGGATTTCAAAGGGACTGACTCCTTTTCCTTCCTTTTTTTTTTTTTCTTTTCTAATTTTAGTTTTTGTTAGAACACTGCAACATGTCTAGAGCTGTACTACTTTGGCTGAAAGCTTTTCTGCAGACTCACACATTATGCTTATTTCATACCTATTATTCACATAATTTCAATGAGTAATATGAAAATAATTATTCTGCATCCTGCACAAAACTTACCTGGCAGTTATTTTCTGTCTATATAAATGATTTTCTTCAAAACCTTTTCTATAAGCAAAGGTAAGAAGAGAGGCAGAGCATAGGTGGCAAGATTTGCACACACCACAATGCACAAACTAG